CTTACATTTAATGCATCAAGACTTCTAATTTTTACTTTTCTCTATTAAATATATTTTATATATAAGCCTTTTAACATTTCTCTTAAGGGTGTAATTAAGAGCTCTCTTTTATCACAAAGGCCAAAACCCCTATTTGCATCCTCTACTTAATTCTTTTTCGCGGTCAGCACTTTCCAAAATTTTTCCTCTTTATTAACACCCTCAACTTTTCAAAACTCGTAAAAAACATAACATTTTAATGTGCCGTCACGGCACTGTTAAAAAATGCACTACGTGGCACCCAGAAATTGACGTGGCATTGTGTGACGTTAGTAATCAAATGTGGATCCATTTTTTAACGATGTGACTTATTTTTTGCACACGTGGGTGCCACATGTATAGTGGGCCCCACTTGGCGTGGGACTTTTCACGTTTGTCCCTGCGTCCCAACCAAAAAAAGAAATAAAAAAAAAAACCTAAAACTCAAAACAAATCTACAGAAAGCCCTTTCTCTTCTTAGTCTTAGTCTTAAACCCCAATCCAGAAACCATCGATTTGGTGTGATCGAAGGGAATCTATGTCAATGTGGAGTTTGAAAAGCAAAGGAAAATCAGAACTTCTTGTTTCAGATTAGTTTGTAAAAGTCGTTGATCCAGAGGGGACCATTATCGGAGAAAATGGGCATAATTAAGGGCACGAAAAGGATAGAAAGTTTGGTGATTGCCTTTATACTGTTAATAAGTTTCATTTTTCTATCATTCTTGGTGGATTTTTGCATTTTCTTCAAGAATATTGTTCTTTTGTGTCCCACCATCAATGTCTCATGTTATTGTTATTGGAAGATGTTTCCTTCTTTGTGCTTTGTGTTGTTTTATTATGTTAGTTTAATTAATTAAGTAATTAATTAATAATATTAATTTATTTGTTGTACAGTAACGGGGGACCAAAGTGGGGGTATTATATGGTTCAATTATGGTGGGCGTTTTGTACAGGGACCACCATTTAGATATGTAGGGGGTGTATGAGAGGATGTTCCATGTGATACAAATAGGTTGAATTCATTTATGATTACTGATTATGTTGTTAGACAAGGTTATGATCGAGTTTCAATTAAAGACATTTACTATATGCAACCTTGGATGGATATGCCAGATGGATTAGTTTCTTGTAATTCAGACAATGCAATTAGGGTGATGAATGATATAATTTCATATGCTGGCAATGTGGAGTTGTGTGTAGACCATGACATTAATATACCTGAGATTGTTGAGGGTTCACTATTGCTCATAGGACCAGTAGGTAATGATAAGGAAGTGTTAGATATTGAAGATGAGGGTGACAATAGTAGTAGTGATGTTTCTATGCATGGGGATGAAGGTAATTTAGGAAGTGAAAAAAGTAGTGATCTTAATAGTGGTAGTGATGATGTGTTAGTTATTGACTGGGAGACAAGTTCAGATGACAGTGCATGGTCAATGGGGAGTGACAACACTGATGATGAGCAAGTTAGTATTGCTAAGTTGACTCAGGAGGTTAGGAAGAGAAGGAGAAATTCCATAAGAAGCAGTAGAACCAAGGCAGATGTGCATACTGCAACTAGGAATGAGTAAGAAGATGATCATGTTGAAGAACCTGTAGTCACTCAAGAGCAACCAACTGTCCAGCAACAACAGTAACCTGCAGTCGCAGATGATCATGCTACTATCCAAGAAGCTACTCTAGAAAAAAGAAATTTGTTGCTTAGCATAAAGTGAGACAAAGTGGTGGAAATAGGGTGGGAAGAGGTGATCCAGTTGATAGCACGCAGCAACTACTTATTAGTGATGACAGTGGCTCCTCTACAGATGAAGAACACAGAGAGCCTGATTATGCAAACAGTGATGATCCTAGTGCTTGGGAATTTCATTGGAATTCAGATGATGAGGATGACATCTTTGTGCAACCAGATCATGTTGTTAGCAAAAATGTCTACTATAACCCAAAATGGAAGGTCCCATATTTTGATATTGGGATGAGGTTCAAAGATGCAAAGCAATTTAGAATGGCAGTTTATAAATACTCCATACAAAAGCAAGCTCAACTGTGAAAGGTCAGGAATGAACGTACTAGGGTGAGGTTCAGATGCCAAACAGGGTGCAAATGGGAGTTGTTTGCCTCCTATGACCCAAAATATGAGTGTTTTGTGGTGAAGACATATTATAGGGAGAATAGATGCTTCAAATCTTATGAGAATGAACTTGTAACATACAAGATTGTAACAGATATTTTTAAAGGAAGGATTTATGAAGCACCATTTACAAAGCCATCCGAAATTGTTAAGTGGTGCAAGGCTGAAATTAAAGTGAACATCACACTTGACAAGGCAGAAAAGGCAAAGAAGCATATTATGACACAACTGGAGGGTAGCTATGTTGATGAATACAAATACTTGAAGAGCTATGCCAAAATATTGAAGAAGAGCCATCCAGAGAATACTGTTGTTGTCAATGCCACTGAAACAAGTTCTAGTGAAACTAGAACTTTCCATAGAATGTATGTTTGCCTGCATTCCCTAAAACAAGGTTGGAAGGATGGGTGCAAAAGGTTCTTTGGTGTTGATGGCTATTTCTTGAAGGGAATATGCAAGGGAATTATGCTATCTGCAGTTGGGAAAGATGGGAACAACCAGATGTTTCTAATTAGCAGTAGTGGAGTCTGGATGTCTTGAGTCATGGTAGTGGTTCTTTGAACTACTGAAAACTAATTTAGATCTTGGTAGTGGTGTAGGCATAACAATTATGTCAGATGAACATCAGGTGAACACATCAGTAGCTTTTATTTATATATTTATTTATATGCTAATATTTTTAATTATTAATACTTTACTAAAATTGAAAATATGAAAATAGTGCCTATTTACCTTCTTAAAAATTAGGAAGACAATTATCCCAAAACTATATCGTTTCAATTAACTCTCATTGAAAAAGATTAAGATGCCTTATTTTTAAAGTATAAATTAAGATATTTTTTTGTTATTTTCTATGGTATTTTATTAAAATTATATAGTTTTGAAGTAATTTTTTTCTTAATTTTTATAATATAAAATAGATAAACACTAACGCCTTAAAATATTATATATATTTATTTAATAATAAAAAAAATTTATAAGCCTATATTATTCTTCTAAGTATAAATAAAATATCAATCCTACTAACATGTTAGGTAGCCATATATACATCAGATGTACTACGTGGAAAAATGGGAAATAGGCTAAAATCCTAGTAGGTGGATGGTCACGAAGTTTGACATAGACTGATAGACACATCGCCAACTATACTGTCAAGTGTTAGAATAATGATTCCGTTATGAAAGTTAGTCATATAGTGACAATATTTTTATAAAGTCATTGACTTTACCAAATCTTCTATTAGTTTCAAAACTTAGTTATAATCTTCAATCATTATATGACTTTTGATCATTTTCAAGCAATCATTTTCTTTTTGTTACTCCTTTTGATTTTGTGCATTTTGACGTTTGAGGTCTATCTCTTACATCCACCATTGGGGTTCTGAGTATTTTATGTTATTTATTGATGATGATAATTGTTTTACCTAAATGTATTTTATGAAAAATGGCTCTAATCAAATTAAGCACAATTTTGCAAAGAAATAGCCCACTTCCTTCTTGAGAAGCGATGGGAAACACGCTCAATATCATTTGATTGAGTACCCAACTCCTTTTTGTTTGAAGAAACCCTCCACTTCAATTGGTATTTTTTCACGAAAAGCAAGTATGAGATAACAAATCTAGTCTTTCACTAAGATTTCAAATAACCGTCTCAAATTCAAGTTGATTTTGTTTTGCCTCCTTTATTTCTGTAAAAGAGTAATATAAATATTATATCATGTTCTATCAACACACTAAATGGATTATACGATATCTCTGGTGTGGAAGTCGGCCAACATTTATATTGGCAAATCGGAAGTTTCCAAGTCCATGCCCAAGTTCGTATTACTTCTTGGGTTGTAATTGCTATCTTATGAGGTTTTGCCGTTATTGCAGTTCGGAATCCAGAAACTATTCCAACTGACGGTCAAAATTTCTTCAAATATGTTCTTGAATTCATTCGAGACATGGGCAAAACTCATATTGGAGAAGAATATGGTCCGTGCATGAAAAACCCAAAGTTTATGCCACTAGATTGGAATAGGCTATTCAATTTATTATTATTGTTGAAAGTACACAAGGGCAATGAACCATATAACGTTAGAAAAATAATAAATAAACAAGTCGAGCATTTAGGTTTTGTTTGGAAATAATTTTCGGTTACTTTAAATTTTTTT